TCGTTGCAAAGAACAACCCACCAGGTCAAGTTGGTGAAGGCCCTGCATGCTAACAGGACACCCCACCATCTCCTGATCAGGGCATGTGGATGGGAGATGAAAGTGTGTCTGGCTTTTCCAAGCTGGAGAGAGCACATCATACCTGCCACAGTGGGAGGGAGTCCAAGAAAGCTGACCCAACCGTGGGACACCCTGAGCCAGAGCAGATGCTGCTCAAGCAGGGTGACAGGGGACAGGGAGGTGTCACTTCCCTGTGGTGGGTACCAGCCTGCCCAACAGAGGCAAGAGCCTCCAGTGAGAAGGTGGCCTTTTGGGAAGGCCAATGCTCATCCCACAGGCAGCAGGTACCTGCCCTGGTGGTGCTTCTGGGGTGCTCTGGCTGAGGGGTGGCTGCTCAGCATCATCCCAGCTTGGGGCAAGCCAGGTTTGTCCCTTCACAATTGTTTTGAGGTCTTTTGCCCTTTGAGCAGTGGGGTTTGTGACAGTGTCATCTCACCCACGGTGCTGCCCCACGTGTCATCATGTGGCTGGGACTGGTGGGCAGGAGCTGATGGGGGCTCTGCAGGATCAGAGCCTTTGTGAGGAACATGCATTGTGTCTTGCAGAGGGACAGGCCATGGGGACAGAGGGGGGAAGGTCCTTTCTGTGTAAAGGCAAAAGGATGAGCCAGACAGTGGAAAACCCGTGGGCAGGAACAAGTCCCCACAGCCCAGCAGTGCCCACTCGTGGCAAATGCCCTTGGCAGGAGAGCTCAGGACCCTGGTGTGGAGCTGTGGTGAGATGGCTCCGTAGTCATCTTCTCATTGTGTCTAGAAGGAGGTTCTTGTCTCCACAGTGTGGAAAGTTCTTGGCCCCTGGGTCAGCCCAGCTGGGCACCCTGCTGTGGCCCTGGAGTCACCATGGGGCAAAGCCACCTTGTCTTTGCTCTGTACAAGGTGACAGCTGCAGTTGGAGCACAACCACGGCTGGACCAAGGCTTGGCCTTCAGATACCCTGTGGTCTGTGGTCTCTCCCTTGTCCACACATGGTGGGAGCTGGGCTGCAGAAGTCCCTGAGTGTCTCTGGTGAGAGGGCTGGAGGAGCCTTCTGCTGAAGGCTTGGTGCTTTGAGCAGTTCTCTCTTGTTCTGCCTGCTAGTGACTTCCCTTTCAAAGGGAGCTCCAGGAACGGGGAGCTGAGGCTGTGGAGCATGCAGAGCCCGGGAGCACCATCCTTGATGCTGGGGCAGGACAGGGACTGGTTTTTTACACCTTGTGGAGCCAGCTGGGGGACCCAGCAGGGACCCCACC